TTCGGTCTTGATTATATTGACCAATGGGTTTTTACAGTATATTGTATCCAGTAGTTTGACAGAATTTAGTGAGTCCGTTATGATAATCCAATCGTTGGTTGAGCATTGTTTAACATACCGAACAGCTTCAAGTATGGCGTATATTTCACCAGTGAGCACTGTAGCTGACTGCGGCAACTTGCTTTCCACAATTGTTGTTGGAGTTACTATAGCTGCTCCTACATATGTGTCTGATTTGGAGGCATCTGTGTATATTTCGCTGTAACTGCTGTATTGGTGGCGAATGGATGAAAAGTGTTGGATGATTACTTCGCTCGGAGTGTCTTGCTTGATAAATTTGGTCAGTTTAATGTTGATGTTAGGAGGCTGAATGGTCCAAGGAGAAATAGATGAACTGGTAGTGGCCAGGACCGGAGGCAGTCTGTGTATATGTAGTCGCCGTAAATACAGCTGTACCCTATGGTGAAAGGATATACCATATGACACGTTTCTAGGGTTCGTTCGATTTCTTAATAAAATGTGTCTGTATCCTGGTAATGATGGGTTAGAGGCAATTTTGGTGGCATACTGTAAACTTAAAATTTCTCTTCGAACCTGCAGAGGAGCTTCTCCAGATTCGCAGCATAGGCTGTCTATGGGTGTAGTTCTGTCGGCTCCTAATATCAAGCGAAGTGCAGTGTTATGTAGTGTATCCAGTGGTTTCAGTATAGATGGCTTTGCGGAATTGTATGCTACACAACCATAATCTAATTTTGATCTAACTAGAGTTCGGTAGATACTGAGAAGAGTTTTCCCGTCTGCACCCCAATGTCTATTAGATAAGTATCGGAGGATATTTATTCCTTTCTGGCAAGATTGTGTCAGATAGGAGATGTGGCTTCTCCATGAAAGGCACTGATCAAAAATTACCCCAAGAAATTTGATTTCTTTAAAATATTCAAGAGCAATGTTAGCTAACTGAAGTGGTGGTTTTGTGTGGTTAGGCTTTTTTGAGAATATAATGCACTGCGTTTTATGTGGTGAGAATGTAAATCCACTTCTATTAGACCAGTGTTCCAGCTGGTTCAATGTCGATTGAAGTAAATAGGTACTGGTTGTAGTGTTCTTGCCTTTAATGTATATAATCATGTCATCAGCATACAGGCGTGCTTGTACAGGCTTTTGTATGCTTTCTATAATATCATTAATGGCTATAAGAAAGAGCGTTCGGCTAATGACAGATCCTTGAGGTAGGCCATTTATCTGTTCTCGCTTTTCAGATAGTGTGCCATTGGTTCGAACTTGAAAGTTTCTGGTTCTCAGGAAGTTTTGGATAAATGCGAGGATATTTCCGTCATATCCCCAGTTTTGCAATTTACGGATTATGTCAAATTTCCATGCGGTGTCAAATGCTTTGTTAATGTCAAAGTATATTGCGGCACAATGTTGTTGGTCGGCGAATGCTTCGTGTATACATGATTCTAGGTCTATTATATTATCCAATGTTGATCTATTTGATCTGAATCCTGCCTGTTCGCATGCTAGCTGATTATTGTATTCCAAGTTCCACAATAGCCTACGATTAATAATTTTTTCCAATAGCTTACACATTGAGCATGTTAAGGAAATTGGTCGGTAAGATTCAGGTGCCTGTGGCGATTTGTTTGGCTTTTGGATGGGTATGATTATGGCTTGTCTCCATATATCTGGGAATACTTGTTCATTCCATATAATATTGTATATGTCCAAAAGGATATTTTTAGCTGAAGGTGTAAGATTTTTGAGGAAAATTGTTGGTATGTCATCTGGTCCTGGTGATGTATCTTTTAAATCAAGAAGGGCTTCTTCCATTTCTTGTTTAGTGATTGGAGTATTTATTGGACTAGAGGTGTCTTTATTTGTAGCAATTTCCGTTTCAGAGTGTCTTTTCTGGTTAAAGAATTGCGTGTTGAAATTCTCATCACTGGAGTTTCTAAAATAGGTCCTCGATAGATCGTTCGCAATATCATTGCTTTGAGTGTAAATTTGAGACCCTTCTTTCAGTAACTCAATATTTGTGTGTGATTTGGCTCCAGACATGCTCTTTATCTTTTTCCAGACTGTTGATACGTTAGTAGAAGTATTTATACTGGTCACGAATTTTCTCCATGATAACTTTTGTTCCGTTTTTATTATTAACCGTGCTTTAGCTCGCTTATGTTTGAATTCAGACAAGTTTTCTGTTGTTTTATGTCTTCGCATCTTGTTTAGTGCTTGTTTGCTTTCACGTATAGCCTTTTCACAATTTTCGTTCCACCAGGGAACTGGATTCTTATTATGTAAAATTTTTGTTTTACCCATGCATTGATTTGCAGCTTCCTTAATAACTTCCATGAATGATTCAAGAGTTGAGTTGATGTTGCTGGAAACTTTGACTTTCTCTATATTAGTATCAATGTGGTGAGAGAAAGAGTTCCAGTCAGCCTTTTTTAGATTCCATTTTTCAATTGGTGGAGTACTGGTGACTTCCTTATTTGTGTTTCTTATTATTATGGGAAAGTGGTCGCTTCCATATAAGTCATCAGCAACATTCCACTGTAATTGTGTTACTAAAATTGGTGAGCATATGCTAAGGTCGATTGCAGAAAAACGCCCTGATGCAGAATCTAATCTAGTGCTGCTGCCATCGTTTAAAACTATCATATTCGCATAATCCATTGCATTTTTTATCATATTACCTCGAGTGTCATTTTTATATGAATTCCATGTGTGGCTGTGTGCATTGAAGTCGCCAACTACTATTTTAGGTGATGGTATTTGTTGAAGTAATGATTCAACTTCATTACTTTCGAGGTGATAATTTGGGGGTATGTTCTAAGTTTGTAGTTAAAACTATTGGTTTGGTAGGTATTTCAGACCGTATGTATATTGCAACTCCTCCACTGGCTGTAGGTGTATCACGGTTCTTAAAAAATCCTTTGTAGCCTTTTGGTGTGTGTGTTTTTGTTTGATGGAAGTGTGTCTCTTGTAGGCAGATGATGTCTGGTGTGTGATCGGCAATTATTTAGCGCAGCATATTTAAATGGATATAATATCCATTTAAATTCCATTGTATTATAGATTTGAATTTTTATATTAAAAGGTAGAGTCTACGGACGAGGTGTCGCTGAGAAGATCACTAGAATTATTTTCGAGGTGTTTCTCCATCTTCTTTCTTAATCTTGTGCAACGATTTTTTAGTGCTTTGTCTGTGATATGTGGATAAATCAGCAGAAGCATTTCTATTATTCCTTTGAAGTCGGATGAGTGATCATTGACAATATTAAATATTTCTTTTGCACCATGCGAATTTTCCAGTAGACTTTTCAATTGGACGGAGTTCAATACAAGTGGTGGCGTTTGGTTGTCAATGAATAATTTAACTGATTCGAAAGCACTGTCTGCTATGTGCTGTGGTTGGTTGTCTGTTTTAGGTTTCTTTGTACTCATGTTTTTTGGTGTAGCGAAAGTAGGATATCCAGTATTTGGAGGTGTAGGTTCAAGTTCAGTTGTCGGCGATAATATTTCAGAAAGGCTACGTTTGTTACTTGTTTGTGTGTTTGAGCTTGTGTTGATTTTATTAGATTCTGTCTCGATCTGGTTTGGGCTGTCTTCGGAGGTCGAGGCTCTTGTTATAGGTGTAGAGAAGCTGGTGACATTAGGTTGTGGGTTTGGTGTAGCTGCTGTTGATTGCTGGCTGTGGTTAAAGTTTGTCTGCTGGGATACAGGTGTGTCTGATTGTGTGGATGGACACTGAGATGCGATATGTCCTGTGAGTTTACATTTAAAGCATTTTTGACTATCTAGTGATAGAAATATGCGATAAGTCAAGTCTTCGTGGGTGACTTCTAAGGACTCTGGGATGAGGTTGTGCTCATCAGGTGTTATATACGCCTGACGTCTAAAACTCAAGATATGGCTGTATTCCGGTAATGCTGCCCCGATCTTGAGAAAGGTGATGGGTGAGATGAGTTTAACTCCTATTTGCTCAAGTCGATCCTTTAGAACTTTATGTGGGATCGTAGGACATACGTTAGACATCACTAATCTGTCAGAGGGAGTAATAAGTCTGCGAGCTTTTATTGGTTCTCCATTAATGATGATCTCACCAGGATTCCCTAGGAAATGGTCTACAATTTGTTTACTTGATAGGTAAATACATATTCTGTTATTTGATATTCTAGAGCAGAATAAGATGTTTTTTGGGTTCACTATTGGGCCCAGTTTCAATAAGTAGTCTTGGATCTTTAATCCATCAATAGCATTGAAAATGATAGCTTGCTCTTTATTTGGATATTTTACTGAGTTTTTATTCAAAATTTGAGAGTATGATTGAACTGAAGTATTGTTTTCTGGTGTAGTTGGGTGGTCCATATCGGATCTATCAGTTGAACTCATCTGGTGGAATGAGTTGCTGTAACATATCTCGATACGGTCCTGTCCGCAGAAATGTGTTTATTTTGGAACGCTGTTTGCTCGCGGAAAAAGGAATTTCTGTTTGCTGAGATTTGTAGATTGCTGGATACAATTACAAAATATTACTCACAGCGTATGTTGATACTGGTATCTATAGGTGTATCGATGATGCACTTGTGTTAAAACAATTTGAATTTCACTACTTATGAATGATTTAAGTCAGAGCTCGGTTCACTGGCTGCTAACAGTAAAACGATCAGGAACGGACTCCCTTGTTTATTCTTTATAACACCTACAATTGGTAGAAATGGATGTAGTTTTGTAGTATGTATTAGTTATTAGTTTATTTAAGTGTATTAGTATAAAATTTTAAACGTTATGGAAATACGTTGATGCGAATTTTTTTCGCAGAAGACTTGACTTTTTAAACGTGTTACTTTACTTTTTAACAAACTTTTGATACACCCTTTATATATTAAAATACTGTTGTTGAAATTTCAAAGTCAGTCTTCTAGCAACTTTTCTAAAGAACTCAATCTTCTTGAGAACATCATGGCCAGTTTCAAACTTATCCTCATTTTTTCCAGTAACCCCATACCGCAGAAGGACCCCTTATTACAAAACGTGACATGGCCAACGTCTACAGTAAGCAACAATTTCACATACCTGGATATAGGAGACGACCTGGTGCTTGCGAACAATATTTCTGAAAAAGAAATGACGTTCTGGGATAACCTCTACGCAGAATATGGAAAAGGTTCATATGACACGTACTGATACTGTGTATCATTAACTTTGTACATTTGTTTTTGTTAGCAATAATTTTTTTAGTCGATCATTGAAAATATTTTATTCAAGTACCCGTGGATACAATGGGGGTATAGGGAGATACAGGAGAACAAACTCTAGCGAGGGAGTACATGCGCATGCAACATGCACACACTTGGAGATCCGTCGGGTGGTACCTCTCAGACCGTCTACCATCTACAAAGAATCACGACATCCATATCAAAAGAAAAATTATTCTGGAACGAGATTTGAACCTGCGCTGCTCCACGCCACTGATTATTAGAAACGTAGCGTCTTTCACTACGCCACCGCGCTACCTAGGTTGATCCTTCTCCGGTTTTTTGGACACTTTAAACTATAAAAAAGCATTATCAAAAGCTTATAGCGTCGATACATTGACTCTGTACTTTTCGTTCTTTCCACGTAATTATGTGATCATGCTAAAACGAAAGTGAGACACGTTATCCCCTCAAAGAACAAGTACTTTTAAAAAACATAAAAAATAACTCGACTTAAGGGCAAATCTAGAGACATCTCGTATGTCCAAATACGTCAAGCTGTTTCAACTGTAGCCGTGAAATACGAATTCCAAGGTTTATTTTATTATTAGAATCCGCAATTTGGTTTTATATAATTTTAATATAGCCAGTATACGTCAGTATCCGACGCATTGAAAGACCTTGTATGTCAAAATCATGCCTTTTGGTGTGTAGCCCGTGAAATGTGGAAAACATATCCCTCATTCTAAGGCAGTTGGGTAATTAATAAACACACGTATAACAAAAAGAGATTAGATCAAATCACTCAGATGGAATCAAAATTCTACTAGATAGGTTCACTTGTAAAGCTTCTTTGGCAAACGTATACCGTATACCTAATAGTCCCTACTTATACTATGAATGCGGCAGAGTATACCTGTACCTCAGAGCCAGACTATTTTTATTTTTTATTTATTATTCTTAAATAGAAAAGTTTTATATGTTAGACCATGATAACATTGTTCATTTGCTACTTGTAGTCTCCACGTAAGGGTTACGTTACATGTTGCTTAGTAGAAGAAAAACATATTGAACGCCATATTCCCAAAACTACTTATTTCGTCTAAACCTAAGTACAAATATTTGTATGTATGTTCTTCCCAAAATGTCTGAATCGATTTTAAAGAATTTTGGTTCAATAGATTAGTTCTTTGTGACAGACATGGGCTACTTTTGTTGCAAAAATAAAACTAGTGATATAGGGGGTGAAAGTTATTATAGGGAAACTATTATTTTTAAATCTAGGAATACTGGTATGGGTTATCCATATTTGGTTTTTAGACATAACACATATACACACAAACCTCTGAAATATCACGCCTAAGGCCTGAAGTTGGAGTTGACACTCTTGAGGCTGAAAAGCCTAGAATATTTCAAAGGACGCCAATAATTTTATCTTCAAAATAAAACGTATTATGAAAGAATGTCACAAATTATATATTTAAGATGGAGTAGTAGAGGTTTCAATATTTCTATCAGGGAAAATATTACTTTTCAAGTAATATTACTTTTCAAGTTATATATATATAGAAATTTGTCGCGAAATCTGATTGCCCTATGTACACGAAATTTGGCAGAGCAATACTTCATGGACAGAGAATATCAGATCAGAACGCACTTTCCGACAGGGTTGGATTAAGGGTCTAAGATAAGATATATATAAAAGCAAAAAGATCTGCACCCATAAGTCGCGATACCTCAAAAACTATTGGACCTATGAACATGAAATTTGGTAGGGAGATAGCTTATGGGCAAGGCATGTCAGCTGAGACTTAACGACAGAGTCTGATAAAAGGGGATGAATTTTGTACGAAAGTCTTTTGCTTTTAATGTGAAGCATCGTATGAAGGTGGTGAAGAAAAGTGCTACTCGTGAATTTATTTCAAATCCTTTGAAATTTTTTGCTAGGTACTTGAAATTGGCAATAATGTAGTTCTTTAGACTTGAACTGAGAATAGATTATGTGACATGCAAATGGGTTCGAGAGATATCGCAATTGTATACACATTCGACTTTTCTTTTTTTATAAATATACACCTTTTTTAACTAGAGACTAGGCACGTGTTTTTTTTTTTTAATGTGAACATTGGTTTAATCTAAAGTTTTGATTTTAAAATGTTGGTTACGTCAAGAATTTTAAGCGTTCGAAGTGTGGTGAATATATCCGACTATTATGTCTATCAGCTGTGTAATATTACAAGGACCAGATGCACAATTGACAATCCCCACTCCCCGCAACCCCAATTTCCAATCTCTATATAAAAAAAGTAGAAAGGCACATCTAGAACGTAAATAAAAATTCTATTTTTTTCTTTTTGGTCAGCAACACTGTCGTCACTCAATTTATTTTCAGAACCTACAAAGTTTTTTCGTTATTAGCATAAGCTTACATCAAAATCCGAGCGACAGATTCCGAGTTATAGAGTAGCCAAGGAAACAGACAGACGACAAGGAGTCACTCTAAAATAAGTTAATACAAAATTCGTAAGTAATTCGAGCCCTCGAAACATCAATACCTATCTACGTCACTGCCTTGCAAAGTCGGCCAGAAAATCATAACTGCCTTTGTCGTTCGACAACAGATGGCAAATATTTGGAGCGGCGTACGCTCCAACGTACTAATTTTCTAGGAAAACAGTGCTAGGCAAATTTTCTCCAGCTACCTTGTCATGCTGAATCACCCTTTCTATATGTAATACCAAAGGCAAAATCAGAGGAAAATCACATTTCCACCTGCCGCGCCAGCGAGATAAAAGTAAATTTGCATCTTGGAGTGCACAATTTTACCTAGAAAAATTGGAAGCCGAGCACTATACAGGATGTTAGGGAAATAATATTTGTAACTTTAAGAGGTGATGCCTTGCATTATGAAATGAAAATTAATCGTTTTCGAGGAAAGTGAGTCGTAAATCATTGAATTTTCACAAACATTTGGCAACGCTGCAATGCAACTGCGATACGAGCGCACGACGACGCAACTGATTCATTTGTATGATATTTTTGTTGAATATGTGCCTTGGATTCTTGAATCCTTTTACGCAATTTTTTGTGGCTAATATTTTTTATTTAATAACGCTTTCAGTCAGTACATTTACTTAATAAAAATTGTAACAATATATTCGTTCCCATCTATACTTCTTCTCCAGTCTTCCACCACCATTTGGATTGCCGTTTCTGTGGAACATTTTTTTCTAAATACAGCTTGATTTTTTATCAAAATTTTGTTTTCTTCAATGAATTCTATGATTTTTTCGTATACTATCCCTTCGAACAGCTTCTCGACATCAGGCAAGACATTGATCGGTCGCATATTTGTATACAGCCGAGAATTTTGAACTTTTGGCACAGGAGTAATGATTCACCAATAATAATAATTTCTCTCCAATCATATTGAAACAGTCACTTAGAATATTTTTTGAGAGATTCTCACTTGGATTTTATTAGATTTCAATTTTGAGATAGCTTTTCTTAGATTGTTGATGTTAATTGTCCTAAATTGCTTCATTGATGAATTCTGACATACTTGTGATGGACATAAGTTTGGATCACCGTCATCAATCGTCTTCATAATTTGATTTACACTTTCTATAAAATAAGTGTCCATTCTTTCTGCTGTAATTAATTTGTCTGTCACTACCCCATCTTCGAAACGCATTTTAGATAATTCAGTCTTTCTATGTATACTAAGTTACATATAAATCCGAAGACCCAGTTTAAATGGTTTTATTTTAATAAAATTTTGTATAAGTACTTAATGAAGCATAATAAGTAAATGATAAAAATTTCAAAATGATTGCACTGCTTTAAAGCCCTTTGACCTTTAATAATGTGTGGATGCACCCTGATGTGCTACGCATTCTCCAACGCGCCTAGGAATGCTTCTGATCAGGTGGTCAATGTCCTCCTGTGGTATCTCATTCCAGGCAACCACCAACTCCTCTCGAAGGGCTTCTAGAGTCTGAGGAGGACGTTGCAAATTGAGCAGTCTCCTACCCATCATATCCCACACGTGCTCAATTGGGGATAAGTCGGGAGATCTTGGTGGCCATGGTAACAATGTGACATCATTATGTTGAAAGAAGTCTATTGTGACTCTTGCAACATGTGGTCGGGCATTATCTTGTTGGAAAGTTGGATCTGCCAGGGTGTCAAGATAGGGTAAAAAATGGGCATCTAGAACTTCGTGGATATAACGCTGCGCGTTCATCTTACCTCTGATGAAGATTAAAGGTGACCTGGAACCATAAGCTATAGCACCCCAAACCATAACTCCAACAGTGTGATGAACATGTCTTTCAACAAAAAACTGTGGATTCCTCCGTTTACCACGTCGCCTTCTAACCCTGGCACGACCATCGTGCATGCCTAAATAAAATCGAGACTCGTCACTAAAGACAATACTGTTCCATTCCTGATCCCAGAGTGACCGTTGTCTGCACCACTCAAGGCGATTACGTCGGTGTTCTCGAGTTAAAGGGAGGACCCAGTGTCGCCGGTATGAAAACAAGCCAAAACTTCTCATTCGTCGGTAAACACTTCGCATGCCAATAGGTCTTCCGTGTCCTGCAAACCATTCATTTGCAATGGACCTGGTAGTGGAGAAACGCTCCCTTAAGGCCAATAATCTTAGGCGGCGATCTTCACCGGCTGTTGTTCTACAGCGGCGTCCAGTGCCCCTTGCTCTTTGCGTACGGCCTTCTCGAAGCCATGCCTGACAACACCTAACCACAGTGACTACACTTCTTTGCACTATAACTGCAATTGCCCGAAAAGAAAGTCCAGCTTCCCGAAGTCCCACTATATGGCCCCTATCAAACTCACTAAGTTGACGAAATCGTACAGGTCTCCGTACTCTAGGCATCCTAACCGATCGTAAAGGATGTCAAGAACCAAAATCCGCCAACGTTGATTCTTTACTGCGGCTGAAATATTCATTTTTAGAGCGTTAGTGAATTAAAAAGAAGGAGTATAAAAACCGGAATGTCCAACTGATAAGGCTAAAAATTTTTTCACTTGTTATTTACAGTAAGATAAATACATTCACCCTAATTTTATTAAAATAAAACCATTTAAACTCGGTGTTCGGATTTATATGTCACCTAGTATATTAGGAGAAACAACTTTTTGAGTCATATCATCATTTGTTGCTGTTTTGAATCTTTCACTTCTGGGATCGTCTTCTATGGATTCATGCATCCATCAAAACTGTAATGATCATAATTTCATTGAATAATATGATGGTGCATCAGCCAAGATCTCCTACGTCCCGCGTATGCGGAGGTTACGGTAGAGAGCAGTAATCGATCAGTCGGACAGCCCTTCTCTGAACAGCACCGAGTATGAACCATGCAGTCAAAGCGGCAGTACCCCCAAACATGTGGGCAGTACTTCGAGTACTAGGCTAGGTATCCTCGGAGCCTTGTACAGAGTAAAGGGATCATGTGCAAAAAGTACTAGCCTTAAACAAATAACCTAGCTTTCTCCCCAGAAGCCGTTGCGATTCGTGAAATAGTGAGCAGAAGAAATTGACGAGATCTGGATGGATGGATGGCTTGCCTGCGTTTAGAGTGCTGTCAAGGAAGCTGTAGTCGGGATTGATTGTACATCGGAAGAGGTCAGTGATGAGTAATAGGAACAACCTCGGGAAGACCGATCCATGGGGAACACCCGCGTTGAAATTATGGGATGAACTGGAGAATCCGTCAATTGCAATTGATATCTTGCGGCCGGAGAGGCCACAACATGAAAGCTTTCATGATATCAAGAGCAACAACGTGAGTCGCACCTTATGAGCAAATTAGTTAACTCCGTCCTTATGTAACCTAAGCTAGGAAGCCCCTCGCTAATCGCTGGTGCCTGAAACCATACTGCCTGTTGCTGATCAAGACCTGATGTTTAAGGTACTTCCTGTTTATGCACTTCTCCAGCACCTTGTTGATAACAGAAAGCATAGCTTTGTACTTGTAAGGGATCCTTTTTGTGCTTATCCAACGTTTTGCATTTCTCATGAAGTGCTAGGTATACAATGTTGTTAACAGATCTAAGATTAGGACCGAGCACTCAAAGAAACAAGAATGGAGTAAATCGAAATAACCTGAGAACTGTACAATTAGATGCCGAATGGTTAAGTACTTGCCATTTTGCAACGTCTACGCCTAGGAGTATAATATATTAATATCCATCTATAAAAGATTCTGATTTTCCAGAGGATAAAATCTTCTATCATTTTCGGCAATTGTCTAGAACACCAGGATCTTATAGAAGCCCAGCAATTTTATATGATTTTTCGCAGACAGATATGAATTCAGTCCGAAATGGTGGCGAAGTTTCGACAAATAGCAACTATGAAACTGACATTGAGTCTCGGCTTGTATCTTAATTACGCAACTTTGGTACAAAACAAATTCTATCCCTGCTTCCA